CGTCCGTCCGTCCGTCTGTCTGTCTGTCTGTCTGTCTGTCTGTCTGTCTGTCTGTCTCTGTGCGTGTGTGTGTGTGTGTGTGAGTCGGCGTGTGTCTGTGTGTCCATCTGTGTGTCTGTCCGTGTGTCTGTCTGTGTGTCTGTCTGTGTGTTTGTCTGTCTGTGTGTTTGTCTGTCTGTGTGCTTGTCTGTGTGTCTGTGTGTCTGTGTGTCTCTGTGTCTCTGTGTCTGTGTGTCTCTGTGTCTGTGTGTCTCTGTCCTGTGCTGTCCTGTGCTGTCCTGTGCTGTCCTGTGCTGTCCTGTGCTGTCCTGTCCTGTGCTGTCCTGTGCTGTCCTGTGCTGTCCTGTGCTGTCCTGTGCTGTCCTGTGCTGTCCTGTGCTGTCCTGTGCTGTCCTGTGCTGTCCTGTGCTGTGCTGTGCTGTGCTGTGCTGTGCTGTGCTGTGCTGTCCTGTCCTGTGCTGTCCTGTGCCGTGCTGTCCTGTCCTGTCCTGTCCCATGTGCTTCTACCATGTGCATCAAGGAATATCAAGGATGTCCCAACAGCGCCTATGCCTGTGTGTCTGCCCGGCCTGAAGGAAAACACCTGTCTGTTGAGCGTGATTTGCTGGGACTGTGCCTGCCCAGACGACTCAGCCTAGACAGTCTTTTTCTGTCCGGAGGTATACTAAATCACTATATCAGACGACCCTTCAACTACCAGTAGCTGCTAAACCCGTCGCACGCAAGGGCCCATCTGCTGCCTCAAGTGGATCTGCAGACCTGCCTGACTCCTGTCTAGGCAAAGCTTGTACTCAAACACTTAACGTTTCTTTAAGTTGAAGGCTTAGAAGCCTGCGGTGTTCTGGGCAGATGTTTCATGCAAAGGCAGAAACGAAGCGGAAGGTCACCATGCGTCTGAAGCACGAGAGCAGGCCACTGAAGAATCCGCGCATGTCCAGAAAGTGCCTTCTGAGACTCAGGCAATCTCCCGAACAAGGCCTGGAATATTGGGCGCATCGAAAGGTACTTTGCGCGCACAAAGCCTTGGGACTCGGATGTCGGGATTGCCACAGGCAGGTACAGCAAGCACATAAATGCCTTCGATATCTTGCAGCGAAGCAAGGGCCGGACTCGTACAAAATGCATCCCATTGCCCAAATGTCCGAAGGAAAGTTGTATTCCCTGGAAATGCGGGACACACGCGCGCACACGTCCACATGCCCACGTGCGTTGGATGAGGCCAGGGCTTTTCCTGACATAGTTCAGGGCTCAGGTAGTATGGCCTAGGTGCGGGAGAAACATGGACTGTGACTCTGCGTCTGCACGGCAACCCCTTAGTCGCAAACGTTCCGATCTGTGTCTTTGCGACAGCGATCGTGCAGGCAAGAACCTGGATATGAGCAGATGCAGTCCGAGCACTTCGTAGACCTGCACTTTCGCAGAAGCCGGCTTTTGCAATTCCAAAGTCCCCCATCTTCAAGTTCCTGTGCGCCGAGCAGGCAGCACGAAGAACAGTGTGAGTGCAACGTCACCCAGTCCCCTCTTGTCCCGCTCTTCGATAAGAAGAAATTCGAGGGCCTCGGCGAAGCAACATCCCATTCCTCAAAAAGACTCGACTGGGATGGCGAGATCCGAACTTCAAGTCTCGATGCAGAACGTGCTTCTTGTGAATGTAGTCTAAAGCCATGATGGCTTGCACAAACCTGGCTTTTATAAGCTAAATAAACCATCACGGAAATGCCAATGATGTTTCCGAAACTTGGCTGGCATACCAGCGCAGTATTTGATCCTCAGAGAGAGGTTTTCTGCCCCGTTTGGCCTTGCAACGGCTCATGCAAGCTCAGGTCGGTGATCAAGAGCATGGAGAGCCAGGATGGCCTCTGCGATGCGAGCGGTGAGATCACCTCCCTCGCAGTAGTCCATGAGGATGCAGAGCCTGGCGAGACACATATCCATTGATATGCTTATCGATCGGCATCTTGCAGTGCAGGTTATCCAGTGCGTGCCATCCACTCTCTGTGAAGCTTTCGCGGTAGCGGACGATGTATGGATGCTTCCTCAATTAGACGAGGAGATGCAAATTTGTCAAGCACGGCGTAAGTCGTCCCAGTTGGCTTTCGAAGGCTCTTTAAGCATCAAGCAGTTCGGACAGCAACTTGCCCTCCTTGACAGCATCCTGCACAGTCGTCGCAGAAGCTAAAAGTTGCTAACTGTCCATGGCAGCCACCAATACCCTGCATCACAATTAAACTGTGAACGATACATCTGTGCAAAGGCGAAGAAACAGGAATTCGGAAGTTTCACAGCCAACACCACTCGGAGTCAACTTCCACTCCCCAATTTACTCTTTTGCATCGACCTCCTGAAAGATATGCTCGATTATGCTTCTTGAATGGTCTGTCCAGGCCTGCAGGACTCTAGGTATCTGTGCATTGTGCATGGGGCAGCCTCTTGCCAGCGCTCGCATGCGAAACAAAAAGACTGAGAAGCAGTTCCAAGGAAGAGCGTCCTCCATTTCTTTTCGCGAAGCTTTGCTCACATCTACCATTTTGCAGATTAACTTCTGCCCATCCTGCCACCCAGGGTCGCGAATTGAAACGCACAGCATGCGAACAGATCCCGCCTCCGACCGCACGAGCAGTGCCTTCCCAAACGATCCCTCACCCACCTGTGAAGACTCAGGTCGTGAGCCCCTTGCCACGCTGTGATGGCGCAGACAGCACCTTCTTGATTTCAGCGTAGCCTTATACCAAGGCAAAAGTGCGTCTGCTTGCAGACATGCGGTCACAGGGATTGCGATGAGGGCCAGTTTGCACTCAGGCCATGTCCATGTTTTCTCAGCAAGCCTGCAACGTTGCCATGAGCAACCTGAGAACACCCCATTGAAACTGGTGCGGCCTGTGAAACGGATAGCTTCATGCGTATGATGACTGGGCATAATATAGTATAGACGGCATACATGCAGGTCTTGGAGACTGGCCGCCATGCTCTCACAGGCCTCAGCCCGACAAAATCTGCGAGAGCAAGCATCAAACGTTTCTCAGCTCTGAGGCGAGGTCGACAACCGTCCACGGCTATGAGAGCATGCCAGGACACTACACTTGGCCAATGTTTTCCATGTCAATGTCAAAGACCAATTCTTCCGCCAAGGCTAGACTATGTTCTAGTCATCAGGAATGCAATGGCTCCAATGCAAAACAAACGCCTCCATCAAGCACCAGAGCTAGATAAGACTTAGAAAAGCTGTGATAGAATGACCACTCCATTCCGCTACCCGCTACCCCTTTCCATAAGATCTTGAGCCACAGAAGGGAACTTTGTCGAAGCTTCCGACTTTTAGCCTGCTTATCAGACACATTCCCTGGGTGCGCTGGAGGACGAAGCAAGTTTGGCATATTTCGAGTCTGGGCTCGGCGACTGTGGGTTGCTCATCTGCAACCTGCAGCACAACTCCGTCGCTGCTCCCTATTCGGCGGAAATCAGCCGCTCTGCATGCGAAAACAACACAATCGTAGGCCGCTCCCCATGCAACCACCGTTAACAAGTGCACACCACGCGCGCGCACGCGCACACACACACACACACGCAGCAAGGTTGTTTTCAACCGTTGGTCGTAGGGTCGCTCCGTTTGCCAGCACCGAACTCTGTTCGGTGACACCCACCTGACCCTGGCCAACAAACGGCAGATACATCCAACATCCTGCGGCGCGGCTGCTTGCTGGGTGAAATATCAAGAGTCAAGAGTTGCTGCTCGAAGATGAGTCTGAGCTCGAAAAGGCAGAGGAAGAGGATGACCGGAAAGAGCCCGACGGGGCCTTCCCAACATCGGGGAAACAATGTTTGCCGTTGCGACCCCTGTGGTTCGCCGAAGCCCATTTAATTTAAACTGGGCATTGCCCGAAACGACATATCCGTAAGGCACTTTCGCAGCTTGCTTCTTCTTGCCGTGTTCAGCACTAGATACTTTCGAGAGCGTTCGGGTGATTCGGGTGCAGGGGCCGGTACCGCACGAAGGCGGCACTCCTCTCGCCAGCTGTCCTCCGGGATTGCCAGCGAAGGCCTAACTTCTCTAAGAATTGTAAGAAAAGCTTCTGCCTCCCCGCGATCGCGAGCCGTTCTCGATGGCAAGTTCGGCTAAGTGTGCCAACGGGTACGTAAATGATGACGCTACCCCACCTGCCGAGAATTTGAATCCTCCAGAGTTCTATGCCCCTCGTGCCCACGAGCTGAACCGTGGCTCGCGCGGAGTGGCCAGTAGACGTCTGCACCCCGTTCTGGTGGCCAAGCCGAAGCCGTACGTTGGCCGCGATCCTCTGAAACGTGTCGGCCCACCCTGCTTTCGAAGGAGGTTGGCCCTGCCTGTCGGTGAACATGGCTCGTCTGGGCCTTTTCCTTGAACGAGCTTCACTAGGCGGTGACAGGGACAGATCTCCGAATGTTTCTCGAAGAAGCTACCATGAGGTCACTGTTGTGGAGGTGCCCGGGAATACAGGCACCGAAGTCACTTCGCAAGAGTCTTGTGCTAAGGACACTAGCTCATCCAGAAGAAAAGCTGCCTAAGCCACGTCCAAGGGTGACCTCTCTGGACGTGTTCTTGATTAGCCAGGTCCAAGTTTCAACCAGTGGTCTGCCGACAGCGAACCTGGGTCACACCCTGTCAAAGAAGTTGGATGTCGCCCTTGAGACCAAAATCGCCACGGGGTACACCTTCATTAACACCCCGCCATCCAAGCTAACGATTGTCACATCAACACTGTGAACATGTTTGTTCTTCAATCCCTCAATGCCTTCAAGGAGGTTCGCGGCAACCACCCCGTGTGAAGTTTTGTTTTTCGGTGGGATGCATCTAGCAGTTGCAGGCAATCAGAAGCTGAAGCGAGCATCATGAGTGTCTCCATGTTCGAGCGGACGCCCTGCAAGGACCTCTTAGCGACGACGGGTGGAGGAAGCTTTTCCGCGAGAGGTCTGCTTGTGCTCGAGCCATAAGTTCGCTCATCACCACCCGGACAAGAGGCGAGGCGTGTGCCCCATGGGAGTCGCGATCGGCTTAATGTAGTCCTGCGTGTTTCAAAGCTTTCGCTCGTGGTGCACCAGGCTTTGGTCGACCCACAGTCGTGGAAGGCATTAGCAGTGTCAGACTGTGAAGTGAGGCCATGTCGGCACGGCTGTGGGGAAGCCCGCTCCTCGACTCTAGCCCCTGGAGTGCAACGATAAGGAGGACCACAGCTTTGCCTCTTCTTGCCCTCAGCAACTGTGTCTCTGTTGAACCGCACCTCTGCAATCTGCGTCTCTAGATGCGCCAGAAGAGGATCGAAGCTCATTTCCTCAAGGTCCTGCGGTGCACATGCGCGGTTCTTTTGCAGAGACCGCAAATGCAAGCAATGTCCTCTGCACAAGCGACCAACTGTCTTCCCTGGCGTGAGCTATGGTCAACAAACAAACTGAAGTGATGTTCTGCCTCCCGCAGTTCTCTTTGGAACAGCACTTCCTGTAGGGCAGCAAGGAACCAAGGCTCGTGTCGGAGCTGGCGTGTGTGGTAAAAGCCCTTGGGGCGAGCACCAATCTTGGGAAGATCTTGCAAATCTCCTCCGAGTGTGGTTGTCCGTGTTCGACAATGTTGACTGCGATACAAACCCTCGCAGGGACTCACAAATCCAAGCAGACTCTGCTCCTGCAAACTCTGCTTGATGATTGCCCGCTGTCCCGCTGACCAATCTGCTAGGAGGAGCAAGCATTGTTGCCTCTGCACAGACATGAGCATCAGATTTGATTCTGAAAGTTCACCGTCCATCCCATGCCTTTCCCGACACAGCGGCCATGCCTCGTACACTGGAACCGTTGAGCAGTCGATGAACACACCTTGCAGTCCGGCAGTCCGTTGGGGGTCGCACTGTGTCAACCGGCATCTCCAAAGATTAAGGTCCCTGCTTCCAACCCGAAGCAGCTTTGGGTGTAAACATCCTGATGCGCGAAATGCCGTGGATTCTTGACGTGGACGCACACGACATTGATCGCCTCCTTGCCGTATAAATTGATGATGTGAACCCGCGTCCTGGCAGCAATCATGCAAATATATGAAACGCCATTCTGTTCCACTTCAACTTGCGACAGTAGCACGGCTCTCCGTTTTCAGTAAAAACCTGGGCTCGCACGCGACCTGGGAAGCGTGCCAGGAGTGCGATCTCTCGGGAGGCCAGAGGCCAGGCAACAGAAAAGTTAATTTTCAGGGGGAGTCTCTCCTCTCTTTTCACTCGTCGCCGCTAGCGGCCCTTGCCCCCGGTCTGCCGCGAGCTCGGCTGGGGAGGGAGCCTCGCCAGTCTGCCAGTTCGACTTGTCGGGATCCAGAGCTGTCCTGGCATCTCCGAAGTTGCCGCCTCTACTTGCTAAGAGTGGCAGGCCTTTGTAGCCCTAACCCGGGGCTGACCATGTTGATCCTTAAGATGAGCACGCCTTGGTTTTCCACTCAATCGCTCAAGCTAGAGCTGAGCAGCCTCGCCGACTCTCCACCGACTCTCCACTCGCGCCTTTCGATACTTGCCAAAGCCTTTGCAGCATATGCTTTCCACTGCCTGACCACATAAGCATACAGCACACATAGCTCTTCAGTTTGGCATGACTGCACTTCAACTCTACAGCAACCGGTCCTTTTGTGCTCGCATCCTACATTGACCTCGGTGAACCACGCTGCTGGTGCGCTGTTTCACACCTGCGGTGTGGGTGTGCCCACTCCGTGAAACTTCCGAAGCATTTCGGAACCATCGCTGATGGGAATACCCGACTGTGAATACGAGTTGTCCGGTCCGAAGTTTGAGTGGTTCTCAGTGAAACATGGCAGGCATACACTGTCAGCTCCCACTGCTGCACAAGCTCAAGTCACCAGTCTCTGTGACCTGCAAATCAGTGGCGATGCTGCTGAAAGACCTCGGCAAGCCAGGCGAGGCCCGGCACTTACAAATCTGCTTGTCCCCTTCTGAGAGGATGAGCTATAAATGCAGTTCACTCCGCCTGTGAAAGTTGTAAGACTCTCGCTGAGCAGAGAGCAACTCCGAGTTGGCACCTGCCAACAAAGCCTGGTCAGCATACGGACACATGTGCGCAACCACTGAAATTAGCACTTACCCGGACGTCTTGACGCCTCTCGCCACACTGCGCAAACAGCGGGATTCTCGCGAAACTCGCTCGGCATACCCTGCACGCTCCGACTTCGTGTGCCGTACCATTAACATGCGGCAGTACAGCGGCCTTCTTCGTTTGCAGCATTAGTGCAGATGCCCGTTGCCTGGGTCATGCTCTCCTACTAGTGCTTGACAGGCACACAGCAGATCAAACATTGCACAGAGAACTAAGGTTGATGCCTGGCAGAAGCATCCAAGGAGCTGGCCTGCAAAGCTGAAGGCTTGGGCGGCTTGACCAAATTTTCAGCCTTCGGCCCTTGCCTCTGCATGTTTGCCTAGTTGGTGAAATAAGCGCCAGCCCTGTTGAAACGCCTGCGTCTGTTGATCCTGAGGTGCCAGCCGCCATGACTGTCACGGTAGACTCTTATTGCTTCCTGCCTGTGGAGGAAGCCGCGCAGGGTCCAGCCTGACAGTGGTACCGGAGGAACCGAACTTCAATGCTCGCAGGTGTGCTTACCCCGGTTGCATCGGGCAAGATGCCACAGGAGCTGCGTAGACCTTACACGACCGATCGGCTTTGAAGGCAGGGATAGACAGCTGTTGTACAGCTTCCCTTCAGAGCTTCATACTTGGCCGGACGATGCTTGGATCCTGACACGTGACGTTGGCCGAACGCTTATGCTCTTCACGTCGGACTCCTGAACTAAACCTGGCCTGGGTGACTTCTGCATAGCAGATTCCTGCACGCAATGTACAAGATTCAACACCTCGCGACTCCGAGACTCAGACACTCCGAGCTGAGTTGACCACACGCGCGGGAGGAAACAGATCTGGCAGCGCCACGGCTTTGAACATTCCGCTCTCACCGTGCACTGCGGTACTGCACGCGGCATGTGCATGCTTCGCAGGCACCGCCGAGTCGGTACAATCTGGCCTGAGGAGGATGACGACGGCCCCCTTGACAGTGTTAGAAATTTTGGCACCGTTCTGACAAACTCTTAGCAGCAGCCGTCTCCGAGCAGAGCGCAAAGACCACCTTCCCGGCACATTGCCTGGTGACAAGGCTACGAAGATGAAGCGAGGGCTCCCGATCCGGCAACCTGGAGCCGTCGAACAAGGGCTCCGAAAGCGCGGTGGTGGACTCAAAGGTGCTGCCCAGACTTGTCGGCCTTGCAGTGCTGGGGACAAGGGCTCCTGTGCAGCTGGAGCACCAGTGCCTGGGGCACCGCTGGCAGCCTGAAGTGCCAATGCACAGGAAAGAAGGCCGGATCCGGCTGAGGCAGTGGGTCAAGCATGGCCAAGCCACAGGGCTCGCATCACGTGGATGTCGAAAGGCAGACCTCAGATTCGCAGCAGGGCCCGCGGCGCTGCGCTGCAGGCTGCGGACTGCGGCTGCGCAGCCGGCTTTGCTCCCGACCGTTGCAACTCCTTCTGCCAGTACAGCTCCTTGTTGCGGTCCTCTCCAGATTCTCCAGATTTGGAAGAGCGACGGACATAGCAGGCCACCACGCCTGCAAAGTGGAGACAGCCTCCTCCAAACGAGCATTGCAAGCTCGAAGTTCGCGTGCTTCCGTTGACGCCTGAGACACGAAGCCTGAGACTGCCTGAGATAATCCGGAAAGGAACAGCTCCTTGTTGCGCTCCTTTTCCAAAGAGGCAGCTGTTGCCCGAGCCTGGTCAGACGTCATGTGAGATGCTCGGAGTTCTGAAGATCTCTCCCGGGCCTCCCAGACCTGCAAAGCACAACTCAGCAGCTCGTTGTACACCTCGAGAACTTCTATCAAGCTGCTACGCTAGCACAAACGCGTGTCCGGCTTCGATTGGGTTTTCTGCACTTCGCATGTTCGTACAGCCATGTTGCCTCAGCGAAGCCACTTCCCCGCTTGGCTGCAGCTTCCAAGAAAGCAGCCTTTGCTTCGGCCTTCAAAGTGTATGACATCATGACGCTCTGCGCAGACACTTCCATGCCCTCTTTGCCCTCTCCTGGGCTGCTGCACGGTTTAGAACTGGCGTTGCTTGCGCCGTGCTGGCCTGGCACTCTTTGCAGCCCGCTGCTCCCGAAGTGCGGACATCGCATGCAAGGCCCGCACTGCATATCTATCAGAGGTCATTGTCGCGTCACAGCTCACCGTGCTAGCATTCAAGGACCTGTAAGCGCTCAGCTTCATCGAGACTTTAAGCAGGAAGAGTCCGAAACGAGGCCCCAGGGCGCGGCGAAGCATCTGCAACAGGAGCCTGGCTTTCCGGATCTTGTGGAACTTTGCATGTCTTTAGTGCCCGGCCTGGGTTGGGCTTGAAGCTTTTTGGCCAGGCGGTGTCGGCAAGTGCCTTGCGGCTCCTCCTTTACTCGAGCAACTCATCTGCTCACCCGATCCGTCATTAAGTTGGGTTGCACATGCCAAGAGCACGGTCCTGTCTCGTGCAAGGCCTGGGCAGTCAAGGTATCTGTCTGGGTCTGACTTGCGGGGGCTACTGAGATACGTAGTAGCCGGCAAGTTGCAAAGATTGTACAGCGCGCTCCAGGAAAGCGATTGCCCAAAGAAGCTACGACGAACAGAGCAGCGAAAGAAGCCTTCTCCGGAAACTATGCACGCACAGTAAAGCCTGAATTGGCTGGGCGATTGGCCACACTCTGGTCAATCGCAACCTCATCGAACCGAATGTGCTCCGTCCGTTCGCCATGCGTCTGCAATGCGCCTGTCTTGGGAGCTGTGACGGCAAAGTCGCCGGTGCAGGCTCAACCTGAGGGACTACATGTTCAGGGAACGATCTCGTATTGGTGGAGAGATCAGACTCAGGCGTCCTGGCTTGAAGCAGCAGCCTCTGACCTGTCTTGACTACTTGCTTCTCTGTGGCGTCTTACATACCGCAACATGCAGGTTGCACCGTGGCTCTGCGGCAGTCGCACTCCTGGCGCTCACGCTGCAATGTGGCAGGCTTCAACAAACTGCGAATCATTGCGAATCAGTGGTCGGGCCCTCGTTGCGAGGAATCTGCCACAGAGTTTGGAGACCAAGACATGGCAAGGCCTTATTCAAGTCGCACAGACATCTTTCGTCTGGCTTCAGAAACAGGAAACCCACCTTCCGCACTGCGCTGCGAGCTTCTGATCTTCGAAATGCCTGGCAGCTGAGCTGTGCAAACGAAAAGCTAGAAGGCTCGAAATCCGCTGGCGCTGCAGCTTTCGAGCCGGCGATTCTCCTGCCAGTTCAGGTGGATCCAGGAGTCCAGAACGAAGCGTAAACAAGCGAGCAGCAAGCGAAGCAGCAAGACAAGCGAGTTCGTCGCCTCCTCCAAAGCATTGATCCTGCCCTTGAGCTGCTCGGCGGGGGCCTGAGCCGATTCTCAGATGAAAGATAGAGGAACAAGCAGCGATCGCAGCAATGAAGGTAATTCAACAGAACGAAGCGCAGCTGCCTGGAGACGATCATCGCGAGCATACCTGCAGCTGTGCTCGAATCTTTTCGAGCAGAGAGAGCCCCTCGAGCCCCTCATATATTCGCTGCCCAGGTACACAACTCGGCAATGTCGGTCACTTCGGCTCAGATTCATTGGAGATTCGCTCACGATCCCGCATTGCCAGCCATGGGCAGTGCAGGGCACGGCTTCACAGCTTCAAGCGAGTTGTTGGACCAGGTTCGGGGAGCTGCTCATGACGAAGCAGTAACATACGTGATCAAGCGGACATAGCCGACATATCTATGATGATAATTTCAAAGTGTCTGGGCCACAACACCAAAAAGACGACAAGGCGAAAGCGACAAGCCATCGCAAAGCCTTTCCAAGTCGAATATGTCGAGTTGACTCAAGACAGTGGCAGCGGCAAATGTCGCGATTTGCTGCCTCGTCCACAGCCTGCTGTTCATGCACAATCCGAGTCTGCTTGCCAAGGAGTATCTAGCAAATCAGTATGCGCAGGCTGCTTCTGTTCCGCAACAGCTACAGGCTGTACCTTTGTGCAGACTTGGCATCCGAGAGCTCCTTGCCACCCTCGCCAGGGGCCTCCTATCTGCGACGAAAAAACAGGATGACATTGATTGAAGCTGCAGCTTGGGCAAGAGCCGTCAGCTTCTCTGACACCCGCTCGAAGATGGTCTGCAGGCGAGGGTCACCATCAAGAAGATCAGTCGCTGAGTCCTGACGGACAGCCGATGGCCCCGAGTAAACCACACCAGTTACTGCCACTTAGTGCTGCATGCCACGAGTGCTGGGTCCTTCAAGATTGATAGGCGGACTTCCTGCACGGCCCAGATTGAGTAGCATTTAGCCAGGTGTACATGCCTGAGGCCTCGAGAAGCTCCTCAAGGGCAGCTGCCCACTGATCTTGCTTCACCTGGATGAAATGCGCTGGGAGAGTTCCATCTGCATTTGCCAAACGGTGCCTCGGCTCTGGGACTGGCCACCATGGCCACGCAACGGGGAAGAAACCTCTAAATTTCTAAATTCTACTCTCCGGACATGAAAGTGTAGACCAGCTCGGCGAAAGAGCTCGGGGGAAGATGTAGTAAGGGCCAGTCTAGACACGAAGCCAAAGTGCGACGAAAACAGTGTGCACAAACTGAAGTCGCGGCTGGAAGCCGCGTGGAATGAGCATTGGGGGCATGCCACATCACGCCACAAGCATCCCCCGTGCACCGCACTTTCGATGGAGCGTGAGTGAGACGGCTTGATTCTCCAACCTCTCATCAAACCATTGGTTTTAGCCAATTACACACTGCTGGTTGCCGCCACCACGTGCAGGTTGAGGATGTCCTGGCAAATGCGGAAGCACTCTACCCACTGGATGTCTATGCATTCACTGCCTTCAGGTGGAGGTGCCGAAGGGGTGTCCATTTGAAAGTTAGTTTGCTCCTGTGCAGCATGGTCAAACGCAGGCAAGCATGCTGCATGCTCGAAGCGCCTCCGAACCCGCGACGGCAGTAGGTTGAGAAAGATATAGCACAGACGGATCGCTGGGATCAACATAGGCCACCTTCACAAGCCGAACTCAACAGTCCATCACAGCGATGCCGCTGGCAAACCGAACTCTCCAAAGCCTGATTCAAGCGACCCTCCTGCGCTGCTTGTGCCTCAAATTGACAGCCAATTGAACATCTGTATCTTGTAGTGGCTTGAAGGCTAGTACTGAGGCCGAGACAATGGTGTTTTGAGAGTTCTGCGCCTGTCCAGTTCAACCCCTCTGGGCTGAAGCTGACAGAGATGAACCACGCCTGGACCTCCGACAAGAGCTGGAAGAGGAGTTGCAGAAAAGTATCTTGGCACGATCGCAATCGGATCGCATACCGTGACGCCCACTCCGAGGTGAGCGCTGCAACCTCCACTGCGAAAGGTCAAGTAGAAAACCTGCGCGCACTCAAGAAGTCACTGACTACAAGAGGCTTACCGGAGGGTACCGTGTCTCCACCCAATAGTGGGGCCGCCGTCTGGTCCTCAGAAGTGGACATTAAGGAAATTGCACCATCAAGACAGCATATGCAGCGTGCTGAGGCAAGTGCGTTTTCAGTTCCAGGGAGCGGCCGCGTGGATCCAGCTAAATAGTTTGCACCTTATTGAAAGTCGGCCGTACTGCGGTTCGCACGACCTGTTCGGAGCGAGGCCGAAGATCGGCTGCTCGAACTTTGGCTTCCTGTCATGCAGACACACTTCTACCGTTTACTCGGTTCGATGCCACACTGATTCTGCCATGATATTGAAAGGTTTGATTTTTCTGTGGTCTTCCCGCAGGGCATGACTTGAGATGTTTGTGCAGGAGCGACAACGAAGGAACGAACACCTGCCACTGCTGCACAATATCCTGGTGTGCTGTTAGTGTTTGGTCAAGTGCTTCAATTCTCCAGGCTGGTGGATGAGATCTCAGTCAGGCCGGCATGAAGTGGCAGGTTCACGACCTGGCAGGTAGGGACAAAAATCAATGACAAGAGATCACCGACCCCGAATATTGACTTGAGGACGGGGCCACGCTAGTGGGACCAGGTCTTGAGGGCTACGGCGCGTGCGGCTCTCTAATTCCGGTGCACACCCCCACAACTAGGAGCAGTTGTCGCACGCGGGGGCTTCCCAGAATGTCCTCTTAGCTGGCTTCTTTCTTACTTGTCGATGACCTGAAGAGCTAGCTTTCATGACTGAACTCCAAAAGACCCAACTTACGCGAGCTGTCCAATTGCCTTTCCCTGCGCTGTGCAAACCTCCGAGTTAGTATTCTTGGGCATGCTGCGAGCGTAGGTCGTTGGCCTCATGTAGAAGGCATTGATTGGCATGGCAGTTCAACGCAGTGGCATGGTTCTGGCCAAGTCTACAGTAGGGTCGCCTGGAATCCATGAACCTACTCCGAACAACCAGAGCGACAAGCAAGGGTTCACACCCCCGCCCGGCCTAAGCGTCTGAAGTGGGATCGCGAAGGATCGAAAATCTTGCCGACATGACTTGTCCTTGCATGGCTCTCAGATCGGATCTTGTGCAGTGTTCATCCGTAGGGCCGCAGCCAAAGCAACGAAAACGATCCGCTTCGAGGAGAGAAAGAAGGAGCCCCTGGTCCATGCGTGAGATGACATCTAGTTCTTGCTGCTGGGACAGCTCTGAGGGCAAGGCCTGCCCCAAAGCTTGCCTCCACGGGGGAGCGAGCACTCAAAATCAATGTTGTCCCGCTTCAGGACAAAGGCCTCAAAGTGCACAGACACGGTCAGAGCAAAGTTCCTTGCAAAGGTCACAGTAATTGCCTCTCCGGTTTCTGGCATCGGGAAGAGCGACTGGTTGGCTCCATCCTTTGCTCTGCGTGTTGGCGATGTGTCATGTACTTCCAAGTGTCAAGCGGCCTGTGCCAGCAAGGGGTTCACTGCCATGGCAAGAGCTACTGAAGCTTTCGGGGCCTCTTTACAGTCTTGTGCCGTTGTCGGCACCCTGGAACCTTCAGATCAAAAGCATGTCTTCTATCAAAAGATGCACCAACAGCTTTGTATTTGTCGCCGCATGGTCTGCGATGATCCTTTGAAGCCTTTGATGCGCGAATGGCAAACAAATTCTCCATGATCTTGTTGGCAAAAGTACACTGCGGAGGACTCACCCGCTCATTTTTGTTGAAACGCATTTCGCTAGCCCGCTAGTCATCGACGCTGCCAAAAGCAGCTGTCAGAGCTTGCCGGAGCCGTTCAACGGCCTCTGCCTGCATGATGTAGCAACAGCAATGAGTGATTGCATCGAAAATGACGTTGTCGAACACGTAACAGCACTCAGCATCAAGATTGCTCTTGCATGCTCTCGGTGCCTGTGCTTGCTATTCAGCTTGCTGTTGCCTTTGCCTCCTCTCGAACGTCTGATCTTGGTTTTGCCCCTTGCCTTTGTTTCTCCACCTCATTCCCCTTTTTGCTCCTCCGAATCCTCTGCCAGCGTCTAAACTGCCTGGAGCATGTGCGACGTGTGCGAAGCTGGCCTCCGCCACGCAGCTTTGTCGCAGCTCTGATGCCGCATCGGCACGCTCCTTGCCACAGGCTTCTCAGGGCTCGTTCCGAAAACCTACTTACTTCTCAGAACACTCTCAAGTCATGGCGGACTGATAAAGGAATTGAAGTCTACTTAGTCTACTTTTGAAAAACCAGCATGGAACACGGTAAAGAACCTTCTGCACAACCTCCAGCTCCATGGCGAGCTCTCCCCGCATCTTCTCCAGCTCCGACGCCCTTGCCTGTCAACTTCCCCAGCTCGTGCAGTACTGCTGCGCACCAACAGAGCGCATCTGTGCGGCTACGTACTGCGATGGGAGGTTTCACTCAAGCAGTGCAACATCAACTGTGGCCTGACGACACTCTCGATCGATTTGAATGACGGCAGGAAGATTGCTTGCCCTGCAGCCACTCAACGTAACTTCCATTAAGCGCACGAACGTTTCAGAGACCGTCCTGGATTCCGGAATCACGACCTGCTCCAACAGATCCACACGTGACATGAGAGGCTGCGTTGTTTTTCTATTTAGTAAGGATCCACGAACCGAGGAAGCTACGTGATCGTCTCCATCGGCTATCAGTATTGGAAGCTCTGGAAAATCGAGAGGTGGCAACCTGACAGTTACGGACCAAGCACGGCATAACCCAGCTGGACAAGATCTCAGACCCTCCTGAATCGCTTTGGCTTTCCTTCGCGGCACCTGCTGCGAATGTGGTATTCCACATTGCCCGAGGAGGACGCATGCAAACAGGCACTCAAACAAAAACAACCCACGCCTGAGCACTGATCATCATGGTGACTTCATTATGGTAATGTTACATGAAATAAACCAGGCTGATGATGATGGTGATGATAGTGATGATGGTGATGAGAACGAAGCATGATCACGGATTTAATGAACGAGGCCTCTCCTGCACTTCAGACCCGTTTCCTGGGAAGGCACGGGACCCCACAGAATGACGGCCGATGACTCTCAAGTCGACATAACTGCCTTCAGAAGGTTTGCGTGATGTTAGAGGCGGGCACACAAAACCGTCTGAGCCGGTTGAGTGACCAGGCCGATGTTTGGCCTTGCTATGCCTTTACCATCCTGATCCTGATGTCTTGCTCGAGAAAATCGGGAGAGCATTGCGCCGCAGCAGGGAGCAGGTGACCGGCTATGCTGTGCCACTGCTGACAGCTATTGGCCTGCGGGTTCTTGAGAGTTTGAGGGTGAGGCTAGGGAGGCTGCCACATACCCGTGAAAATGGTCTTCAGGTAGTGATGATGCTGGGCGCCAGCTGTGTAGGAGGTCGTGTTCTCGGGCAAGTTTTGTGTACAACACACAAGGGAACTTGGAAAGGCAAACAGCAGTCTCTGCGCCTGTGCATGGACTGACGCCGGTGGTTTTATTGGGTCGGATGAAGCATGGGTGGCATACGGTATCATGTACATTACGTTTGTGGCATGCTGTCGGCGTGTTGGTGCCTTGTCGACGATGCAATGCATACAGATGCGATTCGACATTCGAGGAGCTAGGCGGCATCTATACATCTCCTTTTTCGGTGTTGGAAGCTAGATTGCATAACGCCCGCTTTGTTGGCCTTCTGCTGAGAGAGGTTGTGCAAGCAGCGATGGACAGCATTCTCTGGGGCTCGGCGGTGGATGGCAATAAGCCTTTTGTTCGCATTACCTCTGTCGGCCTGCCATGACTGTTTATGGTGGCTCTGGTGCAAGCGTGATTCCGTGGTGGAAGAAAACACGAAGCAGAGGCTGCCGTCCATGCTGACTTGAAGGTAACAGCGGACTTCAGGAGATGGCGTTGCATTCAAGTGCTTCCTTGCTGATCTGTGATGAGGCTTGGGTAATTATGCGGCACTGAGCGCAGGTAGGATGAGACTGGCAGCTCCAGAAGCCTGCCTCAACACGTCAGTTCGGATGCACTCTGATGGTGTCATGTCTGCAGATGACCCGATGATGACAACCTGAATCAAGCCAGATTCAATGCGTAAGAAGCCTGTGAAGCTGCCACCCCCTGTAAGGTTACTTTCCCAGTGCTTTCATACAGGTGCACTTGCACCAGACCTGCATCTCTGTGAATAGTTTCGAATTTCAGGGGCTGCACATCCTGGTACATCCTGTAGCACCCTGGAACGGCCACGGAGGAGACGTGGCGTAGAAGAATGCTGTTGCAAGAAGAACCGTCACTGCTTCAAGATGTGCATACAGGAGAGACAAGCTGGCGACGAAAAGGAACAGCAACAGAATCTCCAATTAGTTCGGCTGGAACCCTCTTCCACGTCGACCGCCATGATTTGCCTGCCGAAACATGCTGGGCTGTAATTCTGGCTAGGTCAATTACACCGCTCTCCTTGCGTGGGCTGCGTTCACTGCGGATGCGCTTCCTTTCCTTCCACCGAACACAAACGAACGTACTGAAGTCAACCAGAGCACAGTCCGGGTGTCTGCCTGAAGAGCTGGAACAGGACGTCCAGCAAGCTGCACTTTCAATGCCTGCAAAGGGAGCTTCCTGTGATAGGTGTGATTTGTACCGCTGCCGAGCTCCTCTCTTTGCTTGTCCATGTTTCCGCTCTGCCGCTCATCCCCCTGATCTTCAACAGAACCTTCGAAAGACTCCAGGACAGATTAGAGGAACCAGCGGGGCCTTCGCGGTACCTCTGAAACGCCCCCGTGCATGGAAGGCAAGCTTTCTGCGACTTTCTAAATCTACCTGCAAGGGCACCAAGGCTTGACTCGATGCCGTGCCACGCCATGCCATGCCGTGCTGACAGAGCTAAGGCACCTCGTGCTCCCGGTAGCGATCGTCTCCAGAGCGGGCACGGGCGGCCCGCCCCGCAAAGTTCCACCTGCGTCGTCCTCGTCTGCTGGCGCCCAAGCTAACAGCAATGCCCCTATTTGCTCTCAGTCAGGTGCCACTTTGCGACTTTCTTGCCTGGGATGACTATAAGCACCACTTTGCTGCATTCGCTGTTGGCAAAGGCTCTCATGTTGCAGCACCAAGGCTCCAAGGACGCATGCAAATCGAAACTTGCTGGTGTGTGGACAGTGCTTTACCCTCGAATCCAAAACCGGTCAGTCCATGCCAGCGCGTAAACCAGCAAAAACGATTCCTTCGACGTGAGTACCACATGTTCAAATTTAATTCGTTTACTTGTAGGTCGGGACATTGTCTGTCGTCACCTACTCTCCCGGGTGTCACTCCTGCCGATTTCAAAGGTTGTGCAGTTCGGTGTTGATTCGCTCTTTGAAAATCCCGACAGATCAGGTCAACGACTTCGGTGGCACTCTCCTCCAACTGAGCAGGGTTCACGCATCCTCACGCATTGGATTCGATGTTGAATACTTGCTCGACTAGGGTTCAGACTCTCCGGATTTAGGATGTTGATCCAGAGGGGATTGAAGCTTGAATACACACGTTCAGGGTGTACACCTCCTCGCCTTTCGTACTTCTCACAGGGTTTGCAAAAATCCGGAACAACGAGCCGAGTAACAATGCAAAGTTCCCTGCTTTTTGTCAGAGAAAGATTCGTCTTAAGCTCGAGCTGCTAGCACCCTCCTTCTCCTGGCTTCACCCTCTGGGTCTAGCAGTGCACGGCGGAGTACCTGCCACAAAGGCAACGGGAGCACCAGGGAACACTCGCGCATGATTTTGTAACGATGCGTCCACACCTCCTCCTTCATTATGGCCTCCACTTCTGCTTCTGCTGCCTCAGCAGCCTCAACTAATAATCTCTGGTAAGGACAGGATGACGGACCAAGATGCCGTGCCTCGACGGCATCCACTGCCTGCACAGCGGAAAATTCCGACACACATTTATGCTCAGCAAAGGCAACGACGAGCGACAGACAGGGCCTGACGACGACAAAATTGAATTAAGGTTCAGATTTCACCAATCGTGCAAACATGTCACAACATGACAAATGACAATGTGATCTTCGTGCCACGGCGGGCCACCAGCTAAACTCACAAGGGCCCCACGTGCCCCTCCAAAGGCTTGGCAACACAGGAAAATTTCATGTGTGCACACACACACACAAGTGCACCCCACGATATGTGGTTGCCTCAACAACAACGGTCACACACACTGTGAAAGGAGGGTGAGGCATGAGCGCTGCGGTCCCGGAGGGAGGTGCGAAATGCATGCTGCCGGCCGTGAGGGACAGGTAGGTGCGAGAGGGCAAGGTGGCCTCCAATGTTGTGAGCGTTTGGCGGACTGAGTGGAGGGGCGCGACTTCGGGCCATGTTGTGGGACCGCAGCTGAGGGGCCCAAGGCTACACCAATTGACAGACAGAGCAACAAACGGCTTGAGCCAAAATGGTTACCATGATATGGTACATGGCATATGCAAGACCGCAATATGTGTGCTATGTATGCTACTACCACGGACAGTTTGTTTTCACAGTGCATCATGTGTCCTTAAGCTGGGCTCCGGCGCATTCAAATCTATTCGACTGCGAAGCAATCCGGAATCGCCACGATGGACATGATGGTGGAAGGTAACATTGAAAGGGAAATGGCTCATGCGTAAGCCAGCCTTCAGCTTTGACGCCGAATGTGTCTCTCGAGGGACAAGGGATCATGGAAGCAAGCCAAGCAAAACGAAAACTACTCTAAAATTCACCAAAAGACCCACGGGCTTTCTCACCTGGGGGCCGTAGTCCCGCAGTCGTAAGCTGCGCAAGTTGCAATGCAGCACTGCAGTTTGGCTGCCCGTGTGACTTCGCACAGCCGGGTCCAGCTCCGTCATGTTCGACTTCTTGTCTGTGCTCCTCGCATCGCATGCGTGCAGGCAGACCTACAGACGGACGGACCTAAAACGTGGACCCACTTACGGCTCACAGACAATGCTGCTTCAGAAATGGTGGAACCACCAAGTTTCGCTGGTGCCGAGACACACAGCATCGGAGTTCCAGCGTGATTCCATGCTGGTGGCAGGAAACGACGACTCTACGGGAACTTTGTGCACGCGCAGAAGCAATCTCGCAAATCACAGCACACGGAGGGCAAGGCCTGTAAATCTGCATAGCTTCTGTCTCGCAACGATTCACTATTTTGGTGAACTTGCGAATGCGTACACGAGGACCATGACCACGATCGTGCCATTGGTGGGTCTGTTCTTGCTCCCATGCCCTTAGCGGTCACATATGCGCCATTTAACGCATGTTCACGGCACGCGAGGGAAAAGATGATTAGTCGAATGTCTCCCGCCGTCTGCAGACATGCACGCGCTGACACACAATGCTTTTCAATCGTGGCCAGACACTGCGCCCCAGAGTCCCACGACTCATCATGTAAGGTTCCGGGGGGAGCAGACCAGGCAGACGAGCTGTGCACCCTCGCACAAGATGTTTGCAAAGTGCGAGACATGGTATGGGCATTGCCGGCATTGCTACATCCGAAAATGCGCCCACGCACTCCTCAAGGTCTGTTCATGCAGCGTTTCCTGTAACAAGGCGAAGGCACAATGTTTGTATCCAAAATCATCGGAAACTGTGCAGGCGAGGTCTGAATGATCGCGACCATTCCAGCGGCAGTGCTCCTCTTGCGCCTCGAGAGGTGACAAAAGCACCAGCACGATGCATGTCATAGCACTGGAGCTCAGGCAGATCGAACGTTGGGCCGAAAGTCTTGCGCTGGCTGCCGGTCTTCCCAGGTCGCCTCGTCCACTGAACCATGGCGACGACACTCTTCGAGGCCCTTCCAGTGACTGAAGTGAGTCCAGTGTCTCGAGAATTGCGTGGGCTCACGGATTTCTGGCGTGGTGCTGCGCTGCGGTGCAAGTGATCACGTCGTCGCGCTGCGGAAACGCTGGGTGCACGATGCACTTACAGGCCGTCTCCTAGTTGATCGCTCGCCGTGGCTCACAATCAGCAGGCAAAGAGCAGGGCCGTAGCAATCAGAATTCGTGAGGCCGTACTAGTCAAGCCCGAGCCCATGCATAGCCGGCCCACGTCTGTCACCGGATAAAAACTACGCGCGCTAGGTCGTATCATCAAAAAATTCAGCACGCGGCGGGTTCTGTGGAGTCTGCAACGGGCTTCGGCGCAGCCTAGCTAGGTTGGAGCTGTGTGTTCTGTCGAGAACATCGGAAACGCAGTGAATTGCGCGAATACGACATGGATGGTTTCCGGAATGCAGAGGCATGGACCAGAAGGTTTGCGCATCACGACTTGGGAGAACCCAGCATGGCGCTTTGCACAGCTTCGGCTCCTATTGCAAGGGCAATGGTCTTCGCAAGCAAGACCACCAGCTACCGCAAGCTGCGGGTTTACCACGATAAATTCAGAAATCCTATCGGTCTGCTGGCTGGCACCTCGCCCTAGTTTTTCAAAAGCATTGGTAAGCTTCTGACATCGCCGCGGAAGCACTTGGTGTCAATTATTGCTCAGCAGCGTGCATTTACAAAGCCGTGCTCCAAGTGATCGCTCGGCGTCGTTCGCAGCAGCGCGCCGAACAGCTTTCTGACAACACAGGAATTGAAAGCCAAAGGCGCCGCAAGAACGTAGGACTGCACAGACTGCAGCGGGTTCCTTTCGCACTAAAAATATGTGCTGCGCACGGAAACGCTCCTAGCTTCAAAGCTCTACCAAGATTCAAAAGCCACAGCAGAGGCCAAATAGCAGGAACGTAGGACAGCACGGACTGCAGGCGGTGCAACCCCGACTGTCGGGTCAGGTCGGCGGTCCGGTTGCCCCGTCAGGTTCGGTCGCACCCTTCAACAGGCCATCGCAAGACGCTATTTCCAATAAGCATCGCTTTCAAAAGAACGGCAAACGCATGTCTTCTCCACTCCAGCTGCTTGAGATCTCCGGCCCTTGAAGCATTGGATTCCAAGGTGGGGTACATATGTCCGGACAATCAGAACACAGCATGCATCAAGCCATTTTCCGGCCATCAGCCGTCTTCCCTTCAGACAAATCACCCGGACGGGCGGGTAAAAGATAAAGTGCTGCCCTGCAAGCCATGATGGCGTCAGCACAGCGTCTCATGCTGAGTGACGGAAATGACCCTACCCAACCAGGCAATAAGCATGGCTTTGAAAAGAACGGCGAGAGCATGTCTTTTCCACTCCGGCGGCTTGAGAAATATGACTAAAGTCCGTAAGTAGGGGTCCGTGGATGGTTTGGGAGGTAGGGGGAAAGGGGGCCGATGGAAACAATATAAGGGTCTGTCTAGGGGTCTATGGACGCCTATGGTCTTACCTGACCTATCTTCGCCGAAGAGTGGTCGCCCAGCCGCCTGAACACACTCCACCTCACTAACGAATGGCTTTCCGGAGGGGCAGGTGAGTCAACCAGGGACGCAGGGGCAAGGACAACCGCAGAACGTCCAAGCCCCGCCGCAAAGGTGGCGCCGACACTGTCCTCACGACCTCCAGCAGAGGCTGGCACAGGACAGATCGGCTGGCCTCACCAAGAGGAAAGACCGCTTCACTCACCGGGCGGCCGACTTCCTATTTGCCGATGCTTCTTTGGCCGGCAAACTGTGTCATCGGCCTTGAGCACTTCGCAGGCGTCGAGTTTCCCGCAAGACCCGTCACACCCACGATTATCATTCCAGCGTTTGCCAAGCTCAAGGCCCTGGTATGTCTTGGCGGTCCTCAACTTCTTTTTGTTCGGGGATCCTGAAGTCTGGGAATCATCGGCTGACAACCGCTTGTTGCTCCCGGCGGCTGGGGATAGCCAGCTCAGCTCATGCTGCGACCACACCTTAGACAAGGATTCCCCTTGCGGCCAGCCTTGCCGGATCAGCTCAATCATGTGGGCTCTCGTCGCCTCATCTCGGCTGCGGACCCAGTCAAGCAAATTCCCTGGCGAAAGCTCGCACGTGGATTCAATGCGGAGAACCGTTTCAGCATAACGCAGATTCTCGGAGAGAGGGGCGAACACAACCTCAGTGCTCGGGAATTGTTTGGACGGGGCTTTATGCTGACCGTTTCATCACGATCCAACTGCAACTTGGCCTGGTCACCGAGGACATTGCGCGGTCCTGCTAGTTCGACGTCCAGAACAGGGATTTGATCTTGGAAACACTGATCACCGTAGGGCCGTAGAGGCGAAGCGCTGAAAATGGCGATGCAGCCTGCCGAGCAAAGGGTCACAGGGCATGCAACGCACATCAATGTCCAAGCGACTTGGGGAGGAGGGACTGGGACGAAAGCTAGAAGCGTCAACAAGCGAGGGTTTAGGGTTTAGGGGTGTGTGCATGAAGCTCTGCTCCAACCTCTTCAAATAGAAGCTGAAACCACCCGTGTCTTGTGGGCATCCTAATGTCCGCCGTTTCCTGAAGCGCTATCATGATCATAAGCATCGTTGGGAATATCG